TTATTAGAAATATTTGGGAAAAAAACCCAAACCAGTCCTAACCACTTATGTTAGATTTTTGAGTTCCTTTAGACACTAGTCAGAATCAATAGAAAAGTCAGGGAAAATAGTTGATTTAAAAAAAAAAATTGGAAAGACATTGTTAATTAGATAAATAGTGTCCTACTCAGTGCAGAAGACATTACCAATACTCACACTGCTTCAAGTGATTGAATTGATTCATTCAGGTGTCACTGTTAAATAAAGCTGTAATAATAAAGTTATCACAATACCTTTAGTGTAATATAAGATAAAATAATGTTTGGTGAGTGCATGATTTGTTTTTCAGGATCACAAATTTTACAAACACATGAAAATTTAATTAAATGTGTATTGTATATAGTGTAAATTGCAGCGTATACTTACCAGTGCCAAGTAATGGGATTTTCCTAATATCTAGGTCTCTTTTCTAAAACATTTTAAAATATATTTTGTAAAGCTTAAAAATGGCAGATTCGTAGAATTTGGTTTAATTAATTATGGCAGATCTTACTAGTCTGTTCTACCCTGTTATCCTCTACCACAGCCTGGAACTGAGTATCTGGGGAAGAATGTAAATCTTGGACAAGCACTCCCTAATGCTCTCTCAATTTCATACAATATACAAATAAGAAACTGCCTTAGCTAAAGACAGTATTTTTGTACTTACTAAGCAAAAGGTAACCTTTGTTGGATTTCTCTTTCATGAACTCAGCAGCTTCTTTTTTCAAATTATGTAAAATTTTAGCATCCACATCTGGCAAACAGTCATATCCTCTGTGAAGAGCACTTTTGTGGGGCTTTCTGTTTTCCTTTGATAGCAAACACTTAGCTAGTGTATCGGGGTACTTAGTGAAGTCCTTTCCAATCCCTCATGATTTTAGTGGCATCTCTAAAACACCATGCTGTCTTCTCCTTCCTGCCCTGACTGACCGCAGCCTGTGTAATTATCCCTTGTGCAGAAGCTGTTGCAACTAATGTTACCTGAATACAAACTTTTCTTCTTTTTTTTTTTTTTAATGAGGACAGCCCTTGAATTAAGGTAAATCAGAAACGAACAAGATCTTGATAAATTAAGATATTCTACAAAACAGGATGCAATTATGAGGACAGCCTTTGAAGTAAGGTAAATCAGACACGAACAAGATCTTGATAAATTATTAAGATATTCTACAAAACAGGATGCAATTCAATAGGGAAGAATGCAACATTCTGAAGCTAGAATATAAAGGAATGAGGAGCGATGGTACCACCCAGTGCTGTAGAAGAGGCCCTGAAAGTTGCAGTATATGAGCTTAACAAGTCACTATGGAACACAGGTGAACAGTGTGAACACATCTAGATGTGGGGTGCAAGATGTATCCACTAAACGTGCTTTGCCTGACATCATTGAAGCTTTGCCCTCATTGCATTTCAGAGGGGAAAACATGGCCCCAGAGGAAGACAGTAGGTGAACAAGTTGTGGTTGTTTAACCTACTAAGTGGCTGTAGATGGAAAATGGCAAAAAGGAACGGAACAAATCTGTTTTTCATATTTATGATGCATAGAGTAAAAAGAAAAAGGAGTAAGCTACCACAGGGAATCTTCAGGTTAGCTGTTACGACAAATTTCCTAGTGACAGGGATGTTCAAGAGATTGTTAGACTGATTATGGAGACTATGCTTTGTAAGGAAACTACTGAAACTCTGTCAGTAGTTCAAAAATTCATTAGGAATAATATATGTTTTATTTTACCTTGTCTTCTTCCACTGATATAAGTTATATATTTAATTTAACTGGATAAGTACAATTCTTTGGAGATGACATTGTAATTTAGAGTCTTAGAGGCAAGGAGAAACAGCAGTTTAACGAAAAAGGGAACACGTGGGACATGTTCATAGTTGTCCATAAGAATAACCATTACATGACTTAACTAAATATCCCTCTGCTATGGTTTGGCTCAACTCTGTTGCCTTGCTGTGTCGAACAGCTTCCTGTCTTGTACAGAATGCTATGTTACATGACTTACTAAATATCCCTCTGCTATGGCTTGGCTCAACTCCGTTGCCTTGCTGTGTTGAACAGCTTCCTGTCTTGTACAGAATGCTATTGCTGATGAAGTAACTATGCAAATATGGAAGTGTGAAAACTGCTTTGTGTAAGCATTACTGTCAATATGACTTTGAATTTTGGCAGTGTAAAAAATACTCAAAGACAACCAAATGCATTCATTTTAAAATACAAATAAGTGTGAACATGCTTGGGTTTTGTGTGGTATTTATCCATGCAACAGTAATTAATATGCATCTATGGCTGAGTAGTGGCATATCATTCCAAAAAAAGGTGATCTATCTTTTGGATGTATGTACCAAAGGAAGCATGGTTAATTCACATTGACTTCAGGCTTTTACTGCAGTCTCTAGCAGTGGTTGAAACAGAGAAATGAAAAATAAATCAGATTAGGAATGCTGGTTGCAAAATGCAGTTGCATTGTAAGCAAGGTGAAGTGTTCAATCCAGAAACCGTGGATATGATGTGTATTGTTGTGAAAAAAATATGCATTGTCTCCACAAAAAGGCTAAAAGATGAAGTGAGAGTTAGTGTGCTAAACCTTGCAAATTATATGGAGATGTCTTACTTTATAGAGACACTGGAAGAGAGTTTTCTTTTGTAATTCTAGAATGTTATGGAGATTTTTTAAGCAGATGAGCAATTTAAAATGGTCTAAGATTTAATTTAGATAAGCATAAAATAATATGCTTAAGAAATTATTATGTAATGCAAATACAAATGATAAAATTACTTGTTTAAAGGATTTGCAAAGTAATAGTGAATCAGAGATTGAACATATTCTGAGGTGATGCTCTGCAATGAAGTCTGTTCCTATCCTGATTTTTACACACAGGCTAACAGCAGACACACATGAATGCACAAGCACTTTCTTTTTGAGAACATGGGTAATACTTGCTACTGTACATGTGATTTTGCTGCTATCCATGGCAGGTATACCTGTATGAGGAATATTAATCTTTCTAAATATCAGGTCCCCTATGTTTTCATTGCTTATAGTATGTTGAAACTGGAGGTAAATTAACAGCCATGTTGCATGGGTGTATACAGGCAATGAGTTAGACAATGCAGACATGATTTACAAAATGGGCCTTCCAACTCTGATCTGCTATGAACACTGGTGAAATTTTCTAGTTCATTCAGGCATAAGTGTGCACTGTCCAGGCATAAATAAGGCACTTTCCAGGAGACAGTGAACAGTTACTACCCACCACCACTGTCTACTCGCCAACCATTTGTATAGGTGGTTTTTGAAAAGGGATTAAATTTGGTTCCTATAGTTTCTGCATAGGGGAAATGTTTTTTTTTTTGGCTGTTAATGAGGATATTTACCGCCGCCTTCTCTTTTTTCCTGGGCTGCATTTTTTTTTCCCTTTCTCTTCCTCCCCTCCCCACACCCCCCCGCCTTTTTTTACAGTGGTTAAAAGACAGGAAGCGTTCAGAAGAAATTTATTGGCAACATCTTCTTATGTATTTTAGCTTAATTTATTTGTGGAACTTCTTTAGGGCCTTGGACTTTCTCTCTAGTTGCATCAATAAGTTATGCAGTAGATGATTAGATCTCACATTTTCCTTAAAAGTAAAAAAAATACCTATTAGAAGCAGGAAAAGTCTGTCATTATACAAGTAATGAAGTTCAAATTAAGCTGGCATAAGAATATCAAAGCTCATAAAATAGGGGCAAACCCCACTACAAAACAGAGAAGCACTCAGTTAAAAGATTTTTATGGCAAATATGAAGAAAGTGCCTCAATTAAAAAAAAAAAAAAAGTGAGGGATCCACAGGCTGAGGATCTCTGGCCCTGCCCTACAAATATTTGGAAGATAATTCCATGATTATTAATTAGGGGTGATATATGTTGTGGTTGAACAGCATCACAAAGGGTAATGATTTGAAATTAAAACATGAGGTGGCACATTAAACTTAATTTGGTATGTGAATCCAGAATGGCATGAAGTTTGTTTACTTGATCTCTCTTTGACAGAGAAGTTTTTTGTTTGTTTGTTTGTTTTTGCCCTGCAAGGGCCACTTGAATTTAGAGGTTCAAGAAGCAAATTCTCTTTCTGAGTATAGATACACAGTCATAGGATGTCTTGACTTAATTTTTTGTAGAGACCAGAAAAACGGAGGCAGGAAGAAAAATAACCATCATTGGAAACACTTCCTTATCTGTTCCTGTGAAAGGGACATGGAAAAAAAAAAAACAAAAACTGGGGGGAAAGATAGATTCGGGAAAGGAGGAGACTGAAGAGAGAGAGAGAAGGGTTGGAAAGTAGAAAAGCCTGTGTGTCTCTTCAAAGGCACAGTTTTAAGCAGCGGTAGGAAAAGCCCTATTTGTTTGGTATATTATCTGGGAACCACTGAAATATGCCTTGCTGAGTGACCTGAAAGCAGATAGAGTTATACTGAAGATCAAGGCAGAGAAGGTGCAGCAAAGGGAACTCTTGCAAAAAGCATAACCTGCCCCGTATTCTGGAGCTATATAAATTTGAGAACTGTCAGGAACAAGCAGGTTTTGGAAGTAATTGAGTTGAATCAATGGCTGGTAAATCAGTTTCTCAGTAACCTCTATTAAACTAATTATGTGTCATTTTGCTTGGTTTTACCTTAGTAAGCTGCATGGCAATTCTAGCCTTTCTATGGCAGTACTGATTAAATGTCTTTTTTATTTGGTATCACTTTCAAAGTGATTCTGTCACTTTTGTTTAAGTAATACTTAATTTTTTTTTTCTCTTTAGGTCTTTTGAGTTGTTTTTCTTTTTGCTATTCCTGTATTTTTCCTGTATTGAAATGCAATGCTTATAAGTGGCAGGTTGTAACCCAGTAATTAATTACATTAGTAATTTACGTATCCTTAAAATCAGCTGAATAAACCTGATTTGTAATCAGTCAATAAAGCTCACTTTTTTCTACACTATTTTTATTTTTTAGGAATGTTGTCTCTGCAACTTGAGAGGTGGTGCATTAAAGCAAACTACTGACAATAAGTAAGTAATATATCCTTTGGGATTGTGTGTGCTTGTTTTAAACTTTATTCCTAATCCATTCCCATATTTAAACCTCATTACTTGACAGTGTTCCTTTAAGATAAATCATTGCAGAATTGAAATTATTCCTGATGAAATGTGCCACTGGCATTTTGTGAAATAGTTAGATGCTAAAATGTACATTTGTTTTAGTATTTGCATACACTGTCTTGTTCCAAATTCTATTCTGCTGGCCTTTATGTAAAGAAAGTAAATGAGAGCTCATTTGTCATTGTTTGCATGGGCAAGCCTTATCAAACAGCGAAACGTATTTTCTTCTTTGGTCCTGAAAATTTGTGATTACACATTACATTTGAACTTCTAGAAACAGTACTTTTAATTAATTTATACGAATCACATTAAAATAATTTTAGATTTTGAGATTTTTTTTTTTAAATACACTTCTATCATACTCTTTCAAAAATAAGGTTGTGGCTGACATCATGCTGCTAACAGCATGAGTATTTTTCTCTGTATTTGGATGACAGAACACTATAGCAAGTAACCCTAACAGATAAAATGGAAAATGTTGATCTTAATATTTTTTCAAGCCCAATAGTGGATTAGTCTTTATGCATTCTGAATCTTCTCATAATTGATTAAATTATTATAGTAACTTAGCATATCATGTATATCTCTTTCTTTAATCCTTTGGAATGCAGTGGTAAGAGGTGATCTAACTGCAACATTCTCTTCCATTTACCAGGCAAGAATTTATTTATTAATTTTATATGACCAATTTATGCAATTGGTCGCATGACCCTTGTAAATCATCCAGTTCCGGGAAGGTTTTACGTGAAACTTACAGGCCAGATCTTACCTTCAGAAAGCATTAATACTGTAACCAGTTTAATGGAGATTTTGACCAAGACATGAAAATACTCAGCTGCTTTTTAGTTCTGTTTTAAACTACCCTAAGTTTGCTACTTGCTTTTCTTACAAAAAAAATAAAAATTACAAAAGTGTTATGTCGGTAGAATTTGTGATGCTCTTTTGATATTTGCTGCTGATAGATTGCATGTTGTGTCTTTGAAAATATATATGTCTTTCTTTGTAGATTAATTAAAGTGGTTTAGAAATGTTTCATAAGATGTATTTGTAGAAAATGAAATCCACAGAGGTTTGCAGAAAATTACGTTTTCTGCATAACTATACCTGAAGTCTTTGGTTTTGCATTATATCCCTCTGTAGGTTTCTCTTATGGATTTATGAAATAAGAGTTCTGTAAAAGTAGTTCAACTCTTTTTTTCTGTTTCTGTAACACCTTACTGTTGCCACACATTTTTGAGTCATTCATCTATCTTTCAGCATTAGTTAGCAGTCCAAACTTTTGAGAGTTTTTGGAAGAGTATGTTCCGGTTATATACTTTTTTCTCCAACAAGTGTAAAATCCAACATGTGCATTCCCTTCCCTCCATCTTTCCCTCTCATATACTGATTAAGAGATGTATATGATGAGAATTACTTAGATTTAAAAGCTAATGAATCAAACGTGGTGTGGGGAGGGTGGTTGGTGGGTAACAAATTGCCGTATAGAAAGGCTGAGTTTCCTGCTTTTCAGCAGAACACAGCGATTGTTTTGAGTCCTGTTGGATTGAGAGATGTCAGAGTATAAAGGTTTGAGTGAATATTTATGGAAGAGGCATTTTATTTATAGCATTTCTGTCCCATAAAGCTTAGATGGTAAGACAATGTAGTTTTGCAGGCAGGCAGCAATGAAAAGAAAAAGGGTGTTACTAAAAGTTAAAAAGTCTCAAAGCAAGCCTTTTTTCTGAAAGTTAGAACATAAACAAAACTGTCACCATGATAAAATGATAGATCTACAAGCTTTACCCGCTTTCATTTGGGCTGCACTGTATAACTTGCTAATTGATATGTCGTCCTTACATACACCTCTTATTTCACACTTTCGCCAATACAACTTTAACGTCACATGACAGCAATTTGTTTAGTCTCAGTATATCATACTATACCATACCAGATATTTTTGTCAAAGATGAGTTATTGAAATAGCACCACACTAGTGCAGGGAAGAAACATTATTTCTATTCTGCTGCATCACCTTCTATCTCTTTTAGCTCCAGCCTGCATTTGTGTTAATCTGCTAAGATGCACATGTAATGTGTGACTTTGGAGGTACACAGAAAGTGGAGTGAGGATGGCATTCAGGGCTTACAAAAAAGAGCAATGAGAAAAGATGTGCAATGAATGACTGAGAATACAGCAAATATGAGTCAAGGAATGGAAATGTTTCCCTTTCTTCATATTTACTAGTTGTCTGTCCCAAAAACGATTATAGCAGTAGTCTCAAAGTCTACTCTTGGTTAATAAAAATGTCATTAGCTTCTCTTTTACTTCATATAATGTGCAATTTTAATATTAGTGTCAAACTTCTTCTTTAGTTTTATTTACCCTTTCTTATTTTGAGATATATGTATTGAACCAGCATTTGGAAAAAGTAACAGTGCTTTCTGTTGAGTATAGGCGGTACGTAGCATCATCTTGACACATCGGACCTATTTCCTGAAGTTGCACATGTCCTAGGCACTTGAGAGGTGCTTTCACTGCTAAAGGGGATCCAGTTCATCTTGGGCATTACAGTGATAGCCTGATCAGTTTGCTACTTCTATGCCTTGGTTTCTGTAAACAGAAGATATATATATATTGATATGCTTTGGTTTACAGTTCAATAGATGTATGACTGATTGTGATCATGTATGTTGCCTAAGAATAGTTATTCAGGTCTGAGTAATGTTAATCCTAAATGCTCTAGGTGATACATTGCACATGAATCAAATAGTGTGGTCTTTTACACCCTGATAGCACAACTACAAAACCTTTGTACTTAATAAATTGTACATGAAAGATGCTTAAAAAAATGTTGCAATAAAACCCCCGACTGAAATTATATTTACGCAAATTATGTGTTGTAAGGTTTTTAAAATATTTTGCAAAGCAGCTTAGGAAATCCTAATAAGGAAGTGTCTAGAGATAGTTGTCTTTTAGGAAAAAACACAGAGCAGATAACAAAACACCTTAAACACTTGTATATCTATGGGGTTTTTTGGTGGTATTCTTGACTTGCCACTTTTCACAGGTGGGCACATGTAATATGTGCAATTGCCATCCCAGAAGTCAGATTTGGTAATGTCACAGAACGTACACCGATAGACACTGGCAGAATACCTTTGCAAAGATTAAAATTGGTGAGTAGTATATTCATATATGCTTAATATATTCTTTGCTATTAAGGTTTTCCAATATTTGAAATGTATTAAGAATCTGAACTGTGATGATTATTGCCAGGTACAGAGCAGTAAACTATGCATAAGGTAAGGAATAAATTTACAGGGTTTAATCAAGATGGGCTTTTTTACCTCTAATGGCAATTCATTAACACTGTTAACAGCCTTTGGTATTTTATTAAAAGAAGTTTGAACCTGCCCTCCCCCAAAACAAGAATAAGAAACTTGACCAATGTCAACTGCAAAAGTTTCAGTTTTGGAACTGTATTGGTGATGACAGTGTTGAAACCCAAACAGACTGGGAGCATCACATGGTACACGTTTGTGGGGTCTTTTTATTATGTATTTTTGCCTCAAGGAACTATTTATGAAAGTAAAAGGATGTATGATCTGTTTGTTAGGTGGTATCTCTACCATCTGGGTGTTGAAAAATGTGCACAAAACAGATCACACATTACATTGGATGAAAAAAACTCTTTTTCGTGAGGAATTTCAAACGCTGGTGGAAAACATAAATAAAAAGACATCAGCTACTACCAGTTGCACCCTGTGTTACATCTAGAATAACAGTGTCATTCAAGAACATTGATGTACACAAACCTAAGATATGCAATGTAACGAAGTGCAATGTAACAGTATTTTCTGTGATGTCTTACATGTGTTAATTTGTCAGCATATGCATTACTGTGGTATCATTTGATAGAAAGAAAGTGATTAGTGGCCCATTCAAAATCTTAAGGAAAGATACCATCAGTTTTCTGGGTCAGCCCCAGGCTATTTTCAAAGTGGTTCTTGGTCTCCCTGACCTTATACGCAATCGTTTGGAACTATTCATCTTTTAATTACATCGTAATTTCATTTAATTCATTATTTTTTGTGTTTGTAGCTGTATTTCTAAATGTGGAGATGCAATTTTGACTAGTTTAAATGGAGATAGCTTGTCCTTCAAATGGTAATCCATTCTAAATTTGTGGTCAAAGTTTTAAAATTTTTTCACATGTCCTTTTAAAAATAACATAAAACACATTTCTAAAGAGTATATGTAACTTATTATATTAAAAAAACCCAACCTGTAGAAGGACTGAGAATTAATTTAATGTGTTCAGACTTAGTTTTTGAGGATCTTAAACAGTCAGTGATATGTGTCTTGTTGGAGTTTGTTAATTGTTTAATTTACCAGAAGCTGAAATTCATTCTCTGGGCTGTCCGTGACTTGAATTGTATAAGAGTAATAGGAGCCTTTTGGAGAAGGCTTGAATTGGTTTTAAATTATTGATTATAAAGGTATGGAGCCAAAATTTGCGAAGTTACATGGTTTACAGTTCCTAGGTAATTTCTACTTAATATGAAGAAATTATGTTAATCAGTTGTTTATAACAGAGCTTTTGCTTCTATTCTTTTATTCAGTTGATAGATGATTGCTAGTCCTTAGTGCTTTTTCAGTTCTTGAAGCCTCCTTCAATGTGAAATGACATTGAAGCACTACAGATTGTATTAAACTGTATGTACCCTTTTGGTCTCCTGAATCCCTGGATGTTTAGAAATATAGTACTTGTTTTCCTTAATGCTGTTTTTTAAAGTAAAAGAGTTTGTATACTTGAGTGGAATGAATGTTGTGATGAAGGAACTCAGCTGAATACAATAAAAACGAGAGGCAGGGTACTTTATAACAGCCATAAATGCAGTATTGCTGCAGGTAGTGGACAGCCTTGCTGTGAGAGAAGGAAGCACTGTAATCCTGGTTTGGCTCATTTAACCTTTCTTTTCCAATACTTAGTTTCTGACATTGAATTTATAATGAAATAGCTAGACTTGTATCAATTTAAGGGAAGTAGGCAGTTTGACCATTTCAAAAGGCTCTGTAATGATTTAATGTCAATAAACCAATAAAATGCTGCTTCTTGGGTAAAGGAGCAGAGAAAAACCTGTTCTAAAACCACCAGGAGTCTCTGCTTTTAAATTTTGGCTTTTTTTGTGAATAAGTTGCTATATCTGATAATTTTACTCAGGTGTCTTTCACAGTGAATATCCTAGTTAAACTATGTCTCCTGAATAACATCACAGTGTTCTGTAATTAAAAGACATGCATTAAAAAATAGATATTATATAGAATATATGGGTACATCATATTTTCTCTGAAGCCCTGTGTATTAGATGCTTTCTGTAATTTACTTCTCTTGTTTTTTGAAACATGGGGTTCCTACTTCTCTAAAGAGTTTACTGTCAATAACCTTGTGTATTTATGCCACATTGTCCTCAAATCAAATGTGGTCCTTATTTTAGTTTTCCCTTTCTGACTATTGATGCTGCAGAATAACAATTATGCTCTCGTACCTGCTTTGCCTTGGGGGAACCCAAGGAATTATATTTAAATTAATTCTCTTTCTTTCTCCAGCAATTCCTGTCCCTTCTTCCCCCACTTTGGCCCCAGTTCCATTCTTGCCTTTCGTTCCTCTCCATTGTCATATACTCTATACTTTGGAGTAGACAGCTGATATCACCTGTCTTGCTGTTAACTTCTGTAAAAGCATACTGTTCACGCTTCGATGTTAACTCTGGGAATCTGTGAGTAATTGATTTGGACCAGTCTTCCCCCTTTGAAATTGTAGCAATCACTGACAGTGATCTTCAGTGGCCAATTCCTGCTTCACAGCTATCCAGCTTGTTAGGTTAAGGGTAATTTTGTTCATCAGTCTCCATCATTCAAAGCCAGATAATGTTCATTGTATAAGCAAAGGCAAGTTTTGTACATATTTTGTTGATATTAAGCCTTCATAAGCTCAATAATACATTTTTTTAAAAACAAAAACCAACAAACCAAACATTTTTGGGCCTATCTTTATAATGCTGTTTATGTTTAAGTGTGGGATAGGTAATAATTGTGAGCTGTCCTACTATGCCATCTCTGCTTTATAAAATTTGGGATGTGTTTTGTTGAGTTTTTTAAAATGAGCAGAAAACAATGGGAAACAAATATAAAAGAATAGATGACATTCTAGCATGCCAAACCAGAACAAGATCTTACAATGTAGGAGCAAATAGCTCTAGTTGTTTTAAGCATTTATCCTTCTGTCCCCATCCTCCCCCTTCTTCCCTCCCCTCCTCCTTTCTTCCTTCCCCTCCTTCACGTGTCTCTCTCTGAAATGGTAAGAAACCCAAACAAGCAGAACATCTACTGATTTCAGAGATCTGTAGAGGCTGAGCTGACATTTTCTTTAATGTAGCAACTATAAAGGAATATCACAGGAAATAAAAAGTCAATGTTTTATTTTTGACAAATTAAATAACATCTGTGCAAACATGAACATATTGGTAGGCTGTTTTTAATTGCTTAGCCAGTATGTATACTGATTGCTGTTAAATAGTTTTAATTCACTAGACATTTTGGGTTGGAATCAGTGTGTATCCTATCAATCTTTCCATTATTAAATATGTGGTATATACTAATTTCTTCCAAAGTAAAAATCAATATTTGTATTATGCTTACAGTAGAGCTCATAGCCTTAAAATTGTTTTATGCAACTGTTATATATTTGCAACTTAGTGGGTCTTCATGGAATGCCAAAATGTTTTCATATTTCCCTAGCTTTTTTCAGTAAGTTACGTGATATGCCCCATCCTTGCTGAAAATTTACATGACAGGGAAATGTTCATTAAAAATTAATTATTTTGAAAATTATTCCTTAGTACTGGTGGATGAAAACAGTCCAAGTCAATACTAATAGAAAATTTCATGCTTTGTCTTTCATAGGGGAATGTGAAAGAAAAAAAAAAAAGTGATATGTTCTGTGTTAAAATAAAACAGGTTGTATCATCACTTACATTTTAGGGGTGTACACCCATGATATTTATAGACTCTAGTTGACTTTTTGAAAACAAGAGGCCTCCCAGGCAACCTCAGTGTAGAGGGCATCTCACAAAGATGCTATAGACTGTAGTTTCTCCACTTTACCTCTCTGTGACTGTACCTTTTCTCTTCTTTTAAAACTTATGTGAATGGGAAAATGAGGTTGTCCTGGTATCTGATGTCAGAGAGTCAGACTTTATTTTAGATTTAGCCTGGATAGTCACGTCCATCAGACACTTTGAGTCCCAGTAGTCATGTGGAATGACAATTTGTGGTAATTAAGCTAGGAAACAAGTATGTTGAATTCAGATATTTATGCACAGTTGTAAATGAAACAGCTGGATCAATATACCTTACCATGTCGCATACTTTAAAACAATATTTTACATAAACTACAGTATACTACCTGCTTTGTAGACTTAGTTCAGATGGTTTCTGTTCCAGTGGTCTCCAAATTTAACAGACATATAAGAAAGTTTAAAAAGACAAGAAATACATGGGAAATAAAAAACTTAAATACTACTTAATCACAGTGAAAATGTTAGGAGCAGATAAAAGGGAGGCAAAGGTGGTGAGAAGTGATGGTATGGAGGGATACCACATGACATTTGTTTAAAAGTATATGCAGAGTTTCAGCTGGTGACAATTTGGAACAAGTATATGATTTGGAGAAAAAGTTTTGCCATGAATGAGTGCGGTGTGTCAGCTGCCATCCCAACACAGTTTAACAGCATCTAACAGTTTACCCAAAGCAGATAAGGCTTAGGTTTCTAGTTGAGTTTAGCTTGTTTTATTTATTTATTTTATTTTTGCCTTGTTCCATTTTTCCTTAGTTCTCCAAGAGAAGCTTCGGTGTAAACTCCTGCTTCTGAAAACCTGTTTGCCTTGACTATTTACATGTATGAGGCTTTGGGTAATAGAAAACAAACTGTGGATTCCTGCTTGTGCCAAACTCAATGTTAAAATTTGATTTTAGTTTGGGAAGGGAAACGGTTTTCCCCAAGTAGCTAGATAGTTTTTGCTTTCAAAAGAGTGTTAATTACTCAGCTCTAAGGATAAATATGAACTCCAGCTGCATGAAAAGGTCTCTTGAGATGAAAAAATTAGACTGACC